ATTTCGTTGTGACTGTATGGCTGCAAGCACGCCTTGCGCCAACTCGACAGCTGAGCGCTGACTCGGCGAGGGAAATACAAGAGCCGGCTGTGCTAACGGCTCATTATAGTTGCAATTGCATGTGACGGTGTTTATAATTACAGTTATTGCAAACAGAGGAATGCGAGAATAGAAGACGGTCAGCGTTGTTGGTCACTTTGTTTGCTTTCCTGCCGCGTAAAGGCTGCGTGCTGCATGCCGCTAACAAACTATATTGTTTTTATGTTTTGGTTTTAGAATAACGGTTAAATATTGATGAAACAAATTGTGCTTACAAAACGGGACCGATAAAAATAAATATTTGTAGTGCGTGTTTGAGAGTGTGACATGCAAAATGCTCGTAAAAATATAAAAAATATTTGTTTCACCTTTTAATAGTGTTTTTAAATCTGAAAGGTTAATGTGACCACGTGCCAATTTTCACTAGTGTGTGTGTGCTTGGTATGACATATTTTTGAGAATTAAAAAAAAAAATTTGATGTGAAACATGGTGCCACCACCGAACTTATCCAAATATCTAATGAATGTGCGCTCGTCTCAACGTAAATTTCCGCAAGGCACACCGCCGTCACCACCAAACCCACAACAACAACAACAACATAAATATCAAAAACAACAATCAGTGCATAATCAACAACGCAATATATATGATTGTAAGTAGCGGGGTCGCTATTAAATCGCCTAAGAGAAGATATTACGGTTTTAGTAAAAATTTAATACAAATAAGTTGAATGAACTGACTCTCTCGATTTTTAATACCTTAACTAAAAGTAAGAGAAAAAAAAGTTAACTTTGGCTGCACCGAAGCTATTATACCTTTCTCAAGTGCATAGCATACTCTTATCTTGACTTTAATCGGTTAGATTGTGTGGCTGATATATGCAGTATTAGGCTGATTTGAAAAACATATTCAGAGATTATGGCGCTGTCTCGTCGAATAATCTTAGCCTAATTTCGTAAATATATCTTGTCAAAATAAAAAAGTGGTTCATTCAGGGACTTCATTTTGTCCGATCAGTTTGTATGACAGCTATATTCTATAGTGATCCGATAACAGCAGTTTCGACATATAATCAGCTTCTTTTGGAGAAAAGAACGTGTGCAAAAACACTAAGGGACCACATGTTCACATGTCTAAAAGAAATACTCTATATACCTATACACAAAATTTCTATATTTGGTTTATTTCGGTGTTAGCTAGTGCTATGACTCATCAGGTTATATTAAATAACTTAAATAATACGCGAAATATGATTGTCATTAATTCAAAAAGTGATAATGTGGTATACCACACCACATATCAGCATTAATATTTATATCTAATTTTTATCATCCAGTTGAATAAAAAGTTTTAATAACTCTATTGAGTTATCGTTACTAGTGAGTTGAGGGCAGGGTTATCACCTAATTTTAACTCTTCTCAAGCAAGTTTGGTTGATATAGCCTTACAGATATTAGTAAAATAAGGAGTTTGGTGTAGCCAGAGACATGAAAAAATTACAATTTAAAAAATTTTTTTTTGTCAGTAAATTATATTACTTTATTTCACTTGGGAGAAATTAAAAAAAAAATCATAATTTTAAAATAAATGGCTGTTTGTGTTGATACAGTTCCAACCGAAGCTGCTTGCGGTGACCATAACTAATCCTTGAAGATTCTTTTTTTTTTTAATTGGTAAAATTGCGGTCTCTGGAATATGCTTTCCAGATTTTTGGGAAAAACCAACAGTTAATTGTTTATAAAAATTTTAAAGTAAAACAAAAAACTTTCGATCTGGCACTAGTTTCTCATGTTTCAAACTGCAGTTTCTGTATAAATTTCATTGAAATCCGTAGAGCTGTTTTCGGGCTGCAGTGGTCACCAGTTCAGTTGCTGTTACCTGCTACGTTTCAGAGTGCCCGAGAACCCTTTGCTAATTATCGAATAACTCAAAAAGTACTAAACGTAGTTACTTAGAATTTTCATTGAAGGTATTTAAATTCTTTAGGAAAATACAAAAGAAAAGCAGATTTTTTCTGACCGCCCTGTTTTAAAAAGTTGTACGGACCCGGAGTTCAACTGATCCGTAATCCCTGATCATTTGCATATCTCATGTCTCAACTCTATACCAATCTCGATTAGTTTGAGCTGTTACAAGCAACCGTATGCCACATGCCGCTAGACTATAAAAATTAACAGATATTTATAAAGTGTTAAATTTTTCAATTCCAAACAGACTGCCTTATTTAAGTATTGATGAATTTATTATAATCTTAAGAGTGACATAAATTATAGAAGCTAATTTAAGATAATGTTTATTATACATCGGCCTGTTTTATGCTCTTATTTGTAGTTTTAAATCTCATTTTTGGAATAAAGCGTGCAGATATAAATACAAGTATTACCCTATGTTATATGTATTTGAAATCCTCATGTGATCAGGTTTTAATGATTATCCATTAATTACGCAATTACTACTTATATGTTATACTCTACTCTTTTATCAAGAAGCGTATGAAATTCCAGGCTGGCGTGGGTTGCAACTTACTGCAGTCACGTTCGATTGACCACAAAATTTGCATGCATGCTCGATAAATATAGACGATATCTAGGGCTTAACTATATACATACATATGCATAGCAAAACACATAGAGTTATTTGTATGTATGTATACAAAAAGCTTTATAACGCTTGCTCTAACCCTAGAGGCCAACTAAATGCAATTAATTGCGACGTCTCTGGGGTAACAGTAAATGACAGTGTATGTGTATGTGTGTGCGAGTTGATATTTTTTGCCTTTTGTTCAGGCATAATTTATGAATGTCCAACTCTTGACGTTTATTTCATATTTATTTGATTTAATTTTTAATCCGACGCTAATTGATTCTATCATCAAAGCAAAATTAATTATTTGTAGCGAATAGCGGTCAAAATGCAAATGTAGAATAACTTCCGGTAGTTTATTTGGTCCTTTTTGAGCTGCTCATTATAATATGTTAAAGGGGTGATGATATGATTATTATAACTAATATAAACTTGATTTCACAATTCGCAAAATGGATTAATTTGTGTTTTAATTTATGAGTTATACATTTTCAATACATTCTATATACAATATGTGTATGACCACTTATATTCTTTCGTTCCCACCTTTTTGATAGTTTTGTGTGAGCTCTACTTTTTTATACAAAAACAAGAGAAAACGTTAATTTCTGTAGCACCGAAGCTATATTGCCCTTCAAAATTACAAAAGTTTCCTTACAATATCTGATTCCGATCGTTCAGTTTGTATGACAGCTATATGCTATAGTGATCAGATCTGAAAAATGTCTTCGGATATTGCATTATTGCTTTAGATAATAATACATGAAAATAAAAAACGAAATAATAAAAATAAAAAGTTTTCTATACAGTTAGTATACGTGAACTTGTCCCTCAATTTTAGAGATATCAATCTCAAATTTTGCGCATGTCTCTTACCATCTTGTTGTACACTTATCGAAGTCGCCGATATCGAACAACTATTGCCTGAAGCTGCCGTACAAACTTAAGACTTTGTGTGCAAAACTTTTTGTTATGATCTTTTTATACCCTCTTATGCTATAAAAGATGCACCTGATAAGGTTAATATAGCTTCGGCGAAGTTGAAGTTAACGTTTTTTTTTGTTCTTAGTAATTAGGACTAGCGAACATATCTGTAAAACTAAACTTATATATCCTTTTTAATATACCCATTTCGACATGAATTGCTAACCCCTAATTTAATCTCACTCAGCTCAAAATTCATTTTTCAACGCTTTGATAACATCAAATTAACGTTCGTTCGTTCGAATAAACTTATTCGAGCAAACGATCCACACTGAGGTTTATGTCGAGAGTTCTGAAGCTCTGACACCCCAAACGGGTATATTTATTGACTTAGGAACCTTAAGTGGCGCAAGAATTTTGAGTTGAAGCGTTGTCTCGGTAAAATTTTTATAAAAAACTTACGAGTTCGCCATTCCACAACTTTGTATATATTTTATGTGTATTCGTTGGAATAAAAAATAATTCCGAATTTTCCAAAGAGAGTAGAGAGAGGGGCTTTTAACCCAAAATTGCGTTTCAAAGGAACTTCCGCGAGGGAACTTATGTCAGGCCATAAGACATAACTATCTATATAAATAACTGCAACTTTATTGGAATACCTGTGGATTTTCATAATGCAAAATCAATTTGGTCATTTTAAAATAAAGTACAAGTTTCCTAAATTTACTGCATAAAGTATGAATGAATAAAACTCTTAAAAAATCGTGTTTGCTATTTATCTCTTTTCACATAGAACCCGTTAATATGATGTATATAGAGAAAGATTATTGGACTTTTCGAAAATTATTGTTCAAGATTGAAAATGTTTTTTTTTGCCAATTTTGTTTTAATTTCGCTTTTTAATTTAAATTTAAGGGTGAAATTATTATACATTCCACACATGACATTATTATGGGGTGATTTAAAATACCTTTAAGTATTTCTGTTTAGTATGAAGTATTTTATGCGCCTACTAGCGTAAATATAGAGTAATAGGACTTTTAATACAAAAATATTTAATTTTTTCGATTTTTTCATCCATTATTTTAGCATTTAATAAAAACTTGTATGTTTATTATGTTAAATTAATATTAAATTTAAAATAATATACTAATCTTTAAGGTTCATTTAATAACCTTCATTAATAAACCTTTTTGTCGCACGATAAAATCGATTTTTTTAAAATCGATAATATATCTTTGCCTATTTTGAAACTTTTGTGAAGTAAAAAGCATGTCTGACTTTCCAATCCTTTGTCTTGAATGCATTTGCATGTACATTTTAAATAAAAGCATTTCGTTTTACGTTTCCATTATGTGAATGATGTTTGCGAAAAGCAAAAAAAAAAAATGCAATCTAGAAATTCGTTTAGTTAAATTTGATCGATACAAACTTGATTGTAATTGAATTGCAGACAGCAAAACATCGCAAACGGACGAGGAGAAGCAACGCGACCGACAGCGCAGCGAACGTGAAGCGAAGAAAGAAGAACAGGACGCCATCAATTACAAAGTGAGTAAAGCCCACACACACACACTCATATATATATATATATATATACCATGTATACAAACAAATATACTCAGAACGCAAGACAAAATCACAAGATGAAAGAAAATGTACAAAAAAGACACATCAACTGTCGCAATTTCATTTTAGTTTAAGTTTTTAATGAATGATTTATTTTCACCAGCAGATAGACAGACACGGCACACAAATCACATACGCACTCACTGACTTACTTATCAATAGCTAAAAATTTACGAGTCTCGTTTCTCTCTTGCCTTTCTTTTACAGCGCGACAAGGAGGCACGTGAGGCGCGTTTGCTCGACCTGGAAATACGCCGGCAACAGAAGCGTGAGGAGCATAAGCAACAACATCAGTTGCACCAACAACAGCAGCAGTCACAGGCAGGCACGAGCGAGAAGAGTCCACCCACAACATCGGGCCAGTCGCAACAACAACAACAACAGCAACAACAGCAGCAACAACAGCAGCAGCAGCAGCAAGAGCAACAGCAACAACAACAGCACGTGACTGGTGCTGGCAGCAGCAGTAGCGGCACGACCACAGCGCCTCGCATACAAACGCCACCAGATCGTTCGTGTCCGCCGGCGTTTCGCAGTCGATCCATCGAGCGTGAGCTACACTACGAGCGCAAAAGGTATTCGGCACCGGAAACAGCCGAAATCAAGGTGAGTGCGAGGCGAGAATGTAAATGTGTGTGCAAGCGTTTGCTTGAACGTGATTGCTATTTCCGTTTGTTCAGCGCCCAATTTGGACAGCTCATTAAAACGTCAACTGCGGTATTCTTGTTTTTTTTTTCTTTTATTCATCCTTTGCGTGCGGCTTCTTTCACGCCTCATCACAGTCGTTTGCTTTTTAATTTGCTTCGACAGCGAAAACAATATATTTCTCAATTTAATTTCTTCTCCTTTCATCGTGTGTCCGTATTGCGTTAAATTCACATCTTCGTTAAGCTTATTTCAGCTTTTTAAATATTTTTCTTATTATCCGTTTTGCACGAATTTCTTGCAGGAGGGTGTAAGCACGACACCATCACCGCAGGCTATAACTGGACCGCCGCCAGCCACACATCATTCGGTGGTGGCGGGCCCTCCGGCAACAGCAGCAGCTGCTACAGCTGCTATAATACCCATATTACCGCTTGGAGTTGCCACCTTGCGTGATGACTCCACGGAATCCGAGCAATCCGTGACGTGTACGCAGGCCCAGCCAGATGCGTATCATCGCATTATGTAAGTGAAAAAAGCATTTTGTTTTATCTTTATATATTCCTGCAAAGAGATTCAAGTGAATTTAATGCGGAAATTAAAAAAAAAAAATCATTACCTTAACGGAAGTGGATAAAAAGTTAAAAATATGCATGCGACAGAAAGTTATGGAAAATTATTATGTGAAGTATTTCAAATAAACATTAAATTGTGAGTTCTTCTTAGAAGCATACATCTCTACATATGTGCAATTTGCTTGACTATGTGTCGTTGAGAATATGTCCACCATTATATTATAAAAAGTTTGGAAATTCACAAATATCGCAGGAAATACGAGTATAGTTATACAATATTAATAGTCAAAGCAATATTTATTGTTAAAATATATAAACATAATACGCTATTAAGCCGCTCAATTCTACTAAAGAGATTTATATTTAAATTACGCATAAGATAAAGTGCTAAATTTGGTGCGTCAAAACGAATAAAAAAGTCAAATTTTACTAGCGACGTTTAAAATATATTCTCCTTTTAAACTGCTTAGAACTGTAAATGGTTTGAGAGGAGCGTTACAACATAAATACCTTTTTACTGATAAGATAAATAGCAATAAGAAAATTATTGCGATAGGGATTCTCAACTAAAGGCCATTAAAGGACTTTTACATATAGAAAAACATTTGAGAAAGGTTGCTATGTCTATCAAATTTTTACGCGATAAATATTGAAAATTATAAAGATGTGGATACCAGAATAAAAATAATTAAAAAGGTGGCAATCTCGTAAGGGCAAAACTCCTTCCTTATGTAGCCTCCGCTTTATTTATTTACTTTTATGTTTTACTTTGGAACTTAATAAAAATCCACCATATTCCAACTTATATTTAAAATAAAACTTTCGAAACAATTAAAACTGTTATTTATAAAAACAATTTTTAAGCGGTTTGTGTATGTGGTATGTGTTTTGATTGTGTTGTGGTTACAATAACTTTCGGTCAATCACTTCTTTCATTGAAGTTTATGTTTTTGTCGTTTTTTTGTGTTTCCCTTGATTAAAACTTTTCGATTAAAAAACTATGTATCTAGCCTTATATATTTTTAGTTTAGTTCACATCTAGTAAAGGTGGATATTTATAGTAACATTTTGATCAAGTTCCTAAAATGTCGGTTTTTCTGTAACGAGGTTGTTCGGTTTGTTACTGAAGATACGATAATAAAGGTAGTAATTTTTATATCCGAATATACGCGGTTATTTAAACCTCTTACAATTTAATTAAGTTTGCAGTTTCATACGCTACCAAATCGAATATCTTTACAATGTTTTATAGACATAAAACCAAAAAAAAAAGCCACAAAAGGAAAAGGAAGAAAACCCCAAAAAAAAAAGGAAAGGAAAATTTAAGTTCGGGTGTAAACGAATATTTCATACTCTTGCAACATGAAAGGATCAAAGTCGGGGGAATTCCTTCAGGTGTTATTTTACAAAATTTTACGAAAGAATCCAATATTAATTGTTCGACGAAACCCTGAAAGCATAAGAATCATTTTTGTATCTTATATACTTATATTATAGACTCACTTAGTTTTCGACTATATTTTACTTCCCGTCAGCGAATTAATCTAAATCAATCCAAATCATCTTCACTTATAATATATCTGACATAAACTCAACCTAAAAGGCTAAATTTAATATATTGAGTTGATGTGAAAAGCGTCAACAAGATGATCGGAATTGATTATATCAAGGATATGAAGTGGACCAAGGTCTATGTAGAGCGTATTGGGGGTAGTAAAGGTCTAAAGGATATGGAGGAACATATTTCCAAGCAATTTTATAAATATATAACTTATACACTGACCGACATATTCAGCATAAGGTTTGTTAGAAAAACGAAAGTAATTATTTGTACGGTATAAAGCCATCCTTATATTAGGTATATCTGAGTAAGTAGTATTGAACCGCTTTTATCAATTTTTGACATTACCACACATTGCTAACGAAACAAGATGATCTCTCATTAAGGTACCTCACATACCATCACCAAGTCAACCGAATGTGTTAAAATCCTGATATTAGTTATTTGGCGGCAAGCGCAAGTTTTCATTTGATTTTATCCATATTATGTACAAAAATAATTTGCTAATAGAAAAATACTCTATTCCATTTTCATTGAAATAACTCATATATTGGACGATATATGCAGTATAAAGAACATCGGAAGTTGGAAAATCTTTATATTGGGTATACATAAGTATGTACATATATCTGACAGGTTGTTATTTTCGATAAAAAGTTCACAAAGGAAACTGGTGTTCACATATTCGGCATCTGGGGGCTTGAACAATAGTAGTCCAATTTTGAAAATTTTTGATTTATCGCGTTTTTAGTAGTTTTTAACAAAACCGTAACATGAGGAGTAGGGGGTTATGATCCCATTTCATTCATTTTCTTCAACGTCGGAGGAGATGCCAAAAATATTTATCCTGAGCGAATTTGGTTATTATAGCTTGGATGGCTTAGGAGATGTGAACATTAAACCTATCAGAGGGACACGCCCACTTTTTCAAAATTTTTCAAGTCACAAATGCTAGTTCTAGCACTTTATAGGCTTTTTTATGATTTATTAAATAAAAGGGCCACCTACCAATCTCAATTTTGTTTCAGTTCAAAATTTCTTCGAAAATAATATGCCATCTCAGTCGGTCAGTATTATTAATACTATTTGTTTGTATGTACATCTACTTGTAGTACAATTTCATAACTGTAACAACATATAAAAATAAACACTTATGCTCGCATTTATATATAATACTTGTATATGTTAGTAGGTATAGTATAATTTACCGAAACAAATACGTTCCACTCTTGCTTATTTGAGGTCAAAAAGGGAAACATTTTGCAATTATCTGCTCACTGCTGCGTGAAGTGGCCACCAGTGGCCAACATTGCAGAACTAATGAAATAATCGATTCTTGATTTCGTGCAGCACGCATAAACACACACATATGCACGCGCGCAAACAGAAATGGCACAAGCATATCGATTTTGTGAATGAGTGTGTGTGCGTGCGGAAACTTCTATTTTATTTTTTATTTTTACCATTTCTTTCAATTATATATTGGATTGTAGGGAAACTGGCGCTGTTTGGCAAAAAGGGTGGCAACTCGCAACCACTTACATACATTTGTGTGCGCTCGCATACCCCAACGGCTAGTAGCAATGTGGCAAATGTAAATTGTATTGCATTTTAAATGCAATCAGGTTGCCAGATCGTGTTATAGGGTGGGACGACTTGCGTTAGGACCAACGCTTGCTCGACTGCACGCAGCACAGTTGAGTGATTTTGGGGGAAAGGTTTGCTAGTTTGGCGCTACTATGTTGCTTGGTTAGCCTTTTCGCTGTTGCTGTAGTTGTTGTTGTTAATTTTGTTGTTGCTGTTACGATTCCCTTCGTTACCCACACAAGAGTACACAGAAATAAGCGTAACTTACTGGCATAGCGAAAAAATCACTTAAGCATTCGGGCTTTCACATACACACTCACAAGTATATTTGCACACAAACATGTTCACATACATAGATGCATATGTACATATGAAAGTTATGCATTTGTTTGGTTTTTGCTGGAAGGCGCTTCCCTCCAACCGAGTGGTTTACGCGTCGGAGTCTTACGTAAGTGCCTGTTACAAATGGCGAGTCGTTGGGTGGAAAACGAAAAGCGTAAAGCGCAATAAGAATTGCATGTGCTCTTGCACTTTGCTGCCGCGCACTCGCTTAACTCAGTTTATTATTGTTGGCATATTTGCTTTTTACCGCTATGCCATTAGTATACTGCTACCATGTTGGTTTGTGTGAAGGACAATGTCAAGAGCTCACACCTCGAACTCATTGCGGAATTTGATTTAACGGTATATGCGGACTTTTATTTCGTTTCTGCTATGACTTTATATTCTCAACGACTCTGGCTTTCTAAAAGAATTCGATGGGAGTAATATTATTGTCATGATTCAAATAAAGAACGCAAGAGTTAATCTTAATACAAACAAATTTTATTAGTTCGCTTGGACTTTTTACGAATTGCATGCACTTGAAAAAAACGTTTCTTACAGAAGACCTTCGGATATTGTAAAATCGTTTTTCTTTTAATAAAGAAATATATATAAACATATACCTTGAGAATTCCCAAATGATTATGGCAACTGAACTTCTAAAGTTGTCGATTTGTGATTGATTTTGAACAGCATTCACAACAAAATTCGTTTTGGAGTGAATTCACAATACTATCGATAAACACTGGTCCTGCATGGAGCATCATTGCCAAAAATTTAATTAAGTTCATCTATGCACTGTGTCTATGTTAATCGACGTCGAAAGTTGTAAAAAATAATCGCGATGTTCGATGAATTTCCATTTTTTGGCCGAGATGAATATTTTAAGTTATTGTAAATAACACAAATAGCGCTCGTATGTCAAAACGATCTGAGTATGTGTAACATCAAAAATGTAAATATTTAATATTTATAAAAAAAGTAACCTACGTACTTAAAGTGAAACAATTTAAGACAGGGGAGAGAAATAATGGCAAATAAAATAATGCCTATCCTCAATGCCAATGGTTAATTTATAATTCGGTCTCTAGATGTATGTATATTAGGGTGACCGTTATTTCCCATTTGATTTTTTTTTTTGTGCTAACGGCATCTTAAGTTTCAGTTTCTGCCCTAAAAAGAGGATACAACGTAAACAAACTATATATATTCTCAATTTAAAAGGTACATGATAAATAATTTTTTTTCCCATATATTTAATTTGGAATTTTTTTATCTTTTGCAATAAACATTTTATCTCCTAAGCAAATAAACCTACTGCTTTGAAAAGTGATATTCTAATATATGTGATATTCTCTACAAAATGATTTTTTGTCATAAAGACCTTCCTTTTAATTAGTTAAATTTAATTAAAGTGCATCAAATTTTCAGTATTCATGAAGTACACCATGTCATATGAGCAGCACATAATTGATAAA